CCAAATATTCAAACTTGATCCGATGGTCAAATTACAAAAGTAAATAGACCAACTTATTCTACTTGTCGAACAGATTGTCGTGGTATATTTGAAATCTCAAAACCAATTCCGAATGAATGAGAAAAATTGTGGATCAAAGTTGGAAGAAATGAAGTGTTGCAACTTTTCGAAAGGATGCAGGTTTTGACCAAGTGTTGCAACTTTTTGAAAGGATGCATGTTTTAGTCTACATTACTTCATTTGCACGCTTTCCACATCTATAAATAGAATCCTATGGACATGATTTTGGGTACACCAATTGCATTGAGCATTCATTCTCCTCTTGCAATTCTCTCCTTTCTAATTCCATAACATTTTCATGCATTTCCTTGATAGAGAGGGAATTTTGTTTGAATTCGTTGGTCAAAGTCATTTGGAGTGCTCTTATGGCTAAACGTGGTCGTTGCATTTTGGGAGATGATTGTCGGAAAACCGTTAGCACCGATGTTGGGCAAATTCATCTTAAAGAAAGAGTTATACTCGCTTCGGCCAATCGCATCACTTACGTGTAATTTTTTTCTAATTTTATTTCTACTTGATTTTAGAAAATGATTAATTTTATTTATATGGTTTATGCAAGGTTCGATATGAAGAATCACATGTTTTAATTCAAGAATGGAAATGGTCAAATTCGATAATCATTGGTTAGTTTCTCAAACTCCATTTCGGTAATCGAAACCTTGTTTCGATTTCATGAATATAAACGGTATATTTTTTGTAAATATAATATGCACATAATCGGTGTATTCCCCAACAGAATGTTGGTACCATATTGTAATTTCGATGTTGAAATAATGTGTATAACTTCCGAATTCAACATGTATGCATTGTTACATGATTGTAAAATGTAACTGTAATGTTTATGTTTAGAAAGTTCAAATTTGACGTTTGATTTGAGATTTTAGCACCAAAATATTCATGATTTAACTTTCTTGAAAGGTGTTAACTTCTATAAAATTGATCAAGTCGAATCATGTATTATACAGTAGATGTGAGGCATCGTGTGCCCAAAATTATATTTGAGTTTCAAATTTTAAAAGATGTGTAAAAACAGGACATGCTATGTGACACGAATAACATGCCACGCTAGTACACAAGTGCTCGTGTATGCCCAAAAAAGCCAGTGAAAATTTTGTTGCAGTAGCAAATCGTTTACAAGTGATCAGTTTGCCATCAATAAATACTCGGGCACCGTCCACCACGTTATCGAGATTGCTTGCCACAACTGGACGAGACTTACTTGCTTATCCTGTTTTCAGTAGAGCAAGTCTAATTCAATAATTACATAAACAATGACGGTGTGATTGGTAGGGAAGATTCGATAATACTGGATAATATTAAGAAAGAAAAAGAAGTTAAAAATTTTATTTATCATATTGTCTACTCCAGTCTAATAATACATAAACAACAAGCAAAAATACCGTGTACGATAAGGAAGAATGAATGGTACCGGGCATTATTAACGAGAAAAAGAAAAAAAAGGGAAGCTTTAGTTCATTAAACTGTCACTAATTATTGTATACTAAACACACAATGAGATGCTCATCTACCTTCAATAACCCTTGTTTCTGAAGGATTGTAGATGAAGAACAGATTGTGCTTAATATTCTTCCAGCAGTTTCTTGCTTTCAAGCAATTTTTTCGGAACTTAAATATTTCACGGATTGTGCTACATGTACAAACACATTTGTACTAAAACTTTTCGCACTCTCACAGTAGAATGGTAGGGATCACATGGCTTAATTTTTTAATGTAAGGGGGGAACCGCATGTATGTGAGAATGAGTAAACCATTTTGTCAACCAAATTTTGTACAAATAGTTTTATCCATATTTCAATACCTACCAAGCTTAAAGTGTGGTCATGGGTTATTCACTGAATTTTAGAATACTTTCCATTGATCACTCAACTTTAGAATGTTGCATTTCAACACCCACCCAACTTTGGATGTGGTCATGAGTTATTCATCGGACTTTAAAATGTTTTCCATTTATTACTCAATTTTAATGCAGTGGCGAGCCAGAATTGATTCAACGAGATTATGAAAGTACGACTATATGAAAGAAAATGGAAATAAGATGAGAGAGAAAAAAATAACAAAAATATTACAATTATAAGATCGTTTATAGGTGAAGGTTTACTAAACTAGATACGATACAGTGACATATTAATTTGTCCATTGCACGGGTCAATTTTCCTTTGATCCATTCTCCTTTATTGTCCAAATCGGCCAAAGCTACATAGAAGGCCTATTTTTAAGTTAAAATTTTCAACTTGATAAATAAATTTTAAAAAAATGTTTTAAGATCACTCATGATCGGGATAACGTTGGATTATATGAAATAAATAATAATAAATTAAGTTAAATAACATAAGAATGTGAAAAAAGTGATCTGTCTTAATGTTTCTTTAGTATTATAATGGTATACAAATTGTTTAATAATATTTAAATAGTAAGATGAAATTGAGATATTAAATAAAATAAACATTTTGAAGTTCAGTGATCAATGAAAAGTAAGCTGAAATTTGGTGAGTAACCGTGAGCACACCCAAAGTAGGGTGAGTATTGAAATGTAATGCCCTAAAGTTGAGTGATCAATGGGAAGTATCTTAAAGTTTGACGAGTAACCTGGGTGTTGAAATATTTAACTCGTGAGTGATGAAGTGCAACGTCCTAAAGTTAAGTAAACAATGAGAAGTATTCTAAAGTTCGATGAGTACCATGTGATAACACCTAAAGTTGGACGGGTGATGGAGTGCAACACTTTAAAGTTGTGTGATCAATGAGAAGCATTTCGAAATTCGATGAGTAATTCGTGACCACACCCAAAGTCAGGTGAGTGTTGAAATATTTAACTCAAGTAGCTACTTTAAAGGAGATAATAACCATGAAAATTAGGTCAGCTTTGATTTAATTGAAAAAGTTGATAAATATCTAAAATTAAAGTAAATAATTAGTTTTATGTAGGATTCACAACTTTTGTATATTTTTTTAATAATACATTTTATTAATTTTTATTAAAATTTATTAAAAAATTGTTCTTAGCAAAAATAAATAAAAATATATAACAATAAAATATCTCAATTTTAATTATCATTTTATGGAAGGTAAGAAGTTGTTCTCTTTGCTATTTTTATGCCCTTTATTGTTTTCGATTTTTCAAAACAGTGAAAATGCATTCTCTTTCCTATTTTCGAAAAAGAATTTTTGAAAAAAAAATAAAATTGTACTGAAAACTTAAAGGTCAAAATGACATTTTGAGTGTTTTCAAGCCAAACACAATTTCCATTTCCCCAACTTTCTTCTACCAAAACAATGGAGCCTCCACTTTCCAACCCTCTAAACTCTAGCCAACCTCCTCCAAAACCACCGGATTTACATACTATTGTGAAGCCCTCAATCCCCTCTTCAATTACCACACAAACAACAACCCAATATATATAAAACTGATCTGACACAAACTGCTTCTATCGGAATCTTCACCTTCGGCAATGCCCAAGGTCGTGCACCACCACCAGTCGATTGCCCACCCCTAGACGACTTCCACAAGATCAGTCGATTCTGGACATAATTGAAGGTGACCCATGGTATTATTGGTTGCGCCTTGTTGAGAGGAGTGGATTGGTGGTGGTTCGAGATCTAAAAGGTGGCCGGCGATGTTAATATGGCCGAAGTTGTGAGTGGTAGTGCAGTTAGTTGGGGTTGTTTCCGACAGGTTCTTAGTCAAATAATTTTTGGATGTTGTATAGGGAGGTGAAGGGGTTCGAGTGATATTGGGATCTAGTGGTCTAGGTGGTGGGTGGTAGTCAGTTTGTGAGGTAGAAGACAATAGCTCATGGAGGGGGCGAAAATCGCCCATGGCAGAAGACAAAAGAATGAGAAAAACGTAAACGCGTTTTTTCAATTTTCAAAAAGAACGTATTTTCAGCAATTTCAAAATAGATACTCAATAAAAAAACTTAAAATGAATTCAAAACTCAAAACACAAAAATTGAAACACGAAGAAAACAGTCCCAAAAGAAATAAAAAGGTAGAATTCAATTTTCATTTTTGTATGGATTTGAAATCGATATTTTTTTCTGAACAACTAATCAAAAATTAATTGTTCCAATATGTTTTTAAAACTCTATTAACTAATTAAACGTGTCCTTAATCATAAAATATTCAGTGTATTTTACATAAAAAATAAAAATTCAATGCATATTTTGTACGTAATACTCGACATTATAATGAAAATAATTTTTGTTTTTAGACTGAAATGTTTTCTAATTTGTTGGTATACTTATTTTTTTTACTTTATAGAATTTAATCCTTCAATTTTTCATATTGAACTAATTTTTTATTTATTGATTTTTTAGATTGATGAGATTTGTTGTTTCAAAAAACAACATTATAAATTTTATGTAGCCAAGAATTCTATTATAATCTTACAAAATGCATTAAAATTTTATAATGAATAATCCTATTACAATCTTATAGAGTATGTGTAATTCTTATACCCATGTTATCTATGAGAATTCATAAATACTAAAAATTTATTAGTAAGGACCGAAATTTGCATTAATTAACACTGTAACAGCAGTTAATAATCCCAGTTTCCACACCCCTGAGGTAAAAATTGTGTGAGAGAAAAATGAAATGAAAATTAATAAGAGCCAAACGGAAGCTTAAAAGCTTCTACCGCTGTTTGCTCTGTTTCTTCAATTAGTAGAGAATGTCCTGTCCATCCATCGACTACCAGATTGAACCCATGCTTGATTTAACTTAAAAAGTTGATAAAAAAAATTAAGTCAAAATCAAAAATAATTTTAGTCATATATTTCATAAGATCCACAACTTTATCGACTGTCAAAACAGCAATTTTTTCCCCAATAAGTAATTTTTCTTACTTTGGCTGTCCAGCAAAGAATAACGTCTAAATATACTTAAAAACAAAAAAATTACTTCAAAGTAAATCTGAATAACTATAATACCAATAAAGGTCTTTCCAATAACAATATTACGACCAGAAATTGTCCAAAGGTCCTTTAGAGCCATAAATTTAGTCGAATGTCTGTCGATTTTTTCCTTTTTTTTTGTTCTTTGGATACAAAAACGTTGATAAAGCAGTGTCTTTCAACTTATGGAAATGTGCGCATAGTTTCTCCATCATTACTGGATGAAAACATTTTAAATAGTAGAATAAAATACTGGGAGAACCCAATTTATAAGCTTAGAATGGCAGAATGTAGTCTCGTTTCAGGTATCCAAGGCCGTCATTTTACAGACGGGACACAGATTCTTCAGCATCAACCACTGTTTAATGCACTTGGTGTGGAACTCGTGCTTGCAATCCAATATCCCGATATCATCTCCAGCAATGTAATCCTCCTGATCAAATTGAGGAGACCCAAAAATTTAAAATTCTCTCTTGTATCAGCCAAACAGACAGATGAATATGGAACAAGCACGAAAAGTCAATCAAGGAAGAAAAAGAAACACAACGGGGAAATGGGGTGACTGTGAAGAAGAGGACATATTGTAGAAGAAGGCCCCCCTTCTGATAACGGTATATTGGTAGAACAAGATTTTACTGATGCTGTCCAATCATCTCGACCAAACATGCCAGTAAAATTTAAAGAAAGCAGGCCGTTTAGACAAGAAATTTAAAGGTGGGCACAAAGAGCGCTTTCAAATATGTTTCAGGCATTTGTGTGATATAATCAATGAAGAAAAAATGGGTAAAAACATTAGAGATGTTTACCTGACATATACAGCACGGCTCGAAATTTGACGAGAATCCGAACGGTTCATACTTCCGGTGTTCCATTGAACCCAAAATCTTTTCCTCACTCAATCCCGTGCTTACATTCCCTATTTGTTCTTCCAAAGCCAATAGTTCCTGAAACACAAACCATAATGTTTATGAATGACAATTTCTTAAAGTTGTTCTCCCATTTAATAGACATCATGAAAGAAAATTCCAATCACAAAATGGACTGAAGTACCTCGTAAGACATATTGTCAACATCGAGCCTCATATCTCTATGCCTGTCATGCATCTCAGCAAATCCATTTATAAAAGGGTCAATTAGCATATAATCCTGAGAAGAAAGTATGACACATCAGTATCATCAGTTCCGCCAAATATAAATCAGTAGTAATAATAAAAAAAACCTAAAAGAATGTTTGGCTAAGCTTAAAATGTTTGCTTAGTAAACAAGAAATTTTTGGTGGTAAAGTTGAAAATAAGTTACTTTTAGGAAGGTCAAAAGTTACTTTCAAGATTAATAACTTATGTTATTTAAAAGTAAAAAAATATAACATGTCCAAACATATTCGGAAGCGCAAGCTTCTCTCGATTGTGAGTGCCTGTGCATTTCTAACACATTTGAAACATGTCTTGCCCATACAAGCAATTCAATTTGCATTTGCAAATATACTTCATCTTGCTGCAGAGTAACTCCGAATATATTAGTAATAAAATATTAACTAATCATTACAGAAATCCAAAGCAAACCTCTGCTCGTAAGTGGACACCCCTCCGCATCGCATGCAAGAAATGGCGTACCTGTTAAACCATAGCCAGTCTAGTCAAAATGGTACCTTCTTCACTGCACAAAATTTTTTACTTTTCTTTCAACAAGAATAAAAGTTTCCGTATACCGAATCCACCCTTTAGCATTCATGTACGACAGCATCCTAAAAAATAAAATAAATAGAAGAAGAAGAAGATATATCCAAAGAAGTTTAACAAAGTACAGAAATCAAAAGCAATCCACAGATATAAAGCTGAATATGAGTATAAAGTAACAGCTCTTATTTTTTCAGTAAATGTAATTTGAAGTGGGAACTTGGATTATGACCATCTTTGGCTAAGTTTAAAAAGACGTAAAGTTACTTTTATGCTTCGTTTTTGCCCAACATAGTTTAAAAGTTACTAACAAAACTTACTTTTTTGAAAAAGTAAAATAAAGAAAAGTAACTTTTGGGAGCAAACATGCTCTCCAGCTAGGACGGCGTGAAACTTGTACTACAGAAAGTGAAAGTGTGATAAACTTAATAATTCGTGTAACTCTGAGTCTTCTAAATACAAAAGAAGCTTTAAAATTTTACTAAGCAAAATCACTTGTGGAATATAAAAGCAGTTCCCAAACAATAAAAATCAAGTTCTTTCCACACCAACCGAAGTTCAATTAAGATCTAAACTCATTTTCAATCACAAATTCTTATAATAAAATATTTTGCACATAAACTTAAAACTTTCCCTACTTTATACTACACATTCTCCCAAAAAAAAAAAAAAAGAAAGAAAGAAAGAAAAAATTCACTATTCCAAAACTTATTTTCCCCCAAAAAACTCTTTTTAGTGGGCATCAAACTGGGGCTTCATTTCAACACTTATTAAAAAGATTTAGCCCCCGTTTAGCAATTTTTCATTCCAAAAAATTACTTTTTTTACCGATATTTCACCATTACAGCCGTCATTTTTGACTTCTTCACTCACAAGTGGAACTCAATTTTTTTCTCTAATGGTAAAAAAATCAATTCTTATAATAATTACAAAACAGGCCCTTAATTTTAGTAAGATAGGTTATTTCACGCACATGCCCATAAACATGCACTCATTGAAAACGATACAAAAGGTTCTCCACATTTAAGGCTTTTATTATTTGAATTTCTGGAAGTCCCAGAACTACACCACAAAAAATGATACTATCCGTAAAATGATGTGGTCCCAAATTAACTTATATTAAGCCTCTATTACCATTTCATTAACTCCAAAATATCACAAGTCCTTATAGTCAAGGCTTACTCATTTTACAAATAAAGGAAGTACCTAAACTTAACATAATCAAGTGATTATAATGATAAAGCAGTCAATCCCTTCTTCAATTTGTAGGAAACTTTCTAAAAGCTCTAACAATAGATGCATGCAACAACAAACTTACAAATTAAGATGCGTAAATATTCTAAAAATTAATAATATGCATTATTTCAGGATGTCAACAATTTCAGTTTCAGCTCGGAGTAAAACAGGTATGTGATGTGGGATGTGGCATATAATAACTGATTCTCATGCCCCAGATAATGCACATAAATCTGGAATGACAAAAACACGCCTCGGAGAACACCAGCCAATAAGCCACAATGAGAACCATTAAACACGAGAAATGGCTACTTTTCTCTCTGGTCTAAAATGATATTACCAACCCACACTTCCCCTTGCCTGGATCTTTAAACAGCCAAAAGGAGTAAAGGAAGAAAACAAACTTGGTTCAAGTAGCCAATATCCATGATCCTTCAAAAGGAACTCTTGCCCGTAATTACAGTCATCGAATGACAAAAGTTCACAAAGACAATCCAGCCTAGGGTTCAGTTTATTAGGCTCTTTAAGTTGTAAACCCTCTCCTGATTTACCACATGATAGGCTAAGCTTAAAAGTGAGCTAAACTTGCTTTAGGAAACTTTATTTTCAAATGTGTCACGATTGAATAAAAGAAGTTACTTATTTTAACAATAAGGTAGGGGTTTCTTTTAAAAAGAAGTAATTTCCAACTTAGACCAACAAAAAATTTATTTTAAACCTTTATAAGTAAATTTTAAGCTGATCCAAACATTTACTTCAGCTTTTAAATCGGGATAGGCAGGTTTTCTAAATCCATAATACGATATGTTGAGTTGAATAACAAAAGGGACCAGTGTGACATCATTTGCTTAAAAAAGCAAGAGTATCATAAGTCGAAGGCTAGAATACATGGCCATATGTGGATGAGAATAGTGCCCTTTTCTAGGAAGAGATGTGATAGGGGTGCAATTATTAATTTGGAGAATGGGTTGGGAATCATTTTGTGTAATTTTTACAATCAGTATAAATCAAGGATGTGTTGTGTACAACATACTTAAGCACAATTAGGTCAGATCTTTAGCATTTGATCATGAAAATAATGACGGAACACCATTAGAACATATTTATGATAAGCATTAAACTACTTGTACACACGAAGTGTACATCTTGATTGACACTCCCTATGTGTCAAAAATCAGTTGATTGAAAAAGGCGTTGTCAAGATCAATGTGCCAAAATCTGCCATCTCACATGGGTGTAAACCAATTTGTCAACCTTCATGTACATGTAGCATGATCCCTTATGATAATTGTACAGAGGAAGCAAAAAGAACTAATTAACATACAACCTCAACATATCAAGCGTTTAGAGAAAAGGTAAATAGGCAGGCAAACAAGTAGTTTGAAAAAAATAATATTTGAAAGTTGGAACTCATTTAAAATGGCATCCTGAGAGGTGTGAAAAGGAATAAAAGAATGAGAACAATGTATATAATGATGCATATAACTCCTAAATGGAGCCAAGCACATCAAGGTACCATGACAAATGTGAATAATCTAGGATGCACCTACACCATCTTGATCAGCAAGTCAGTGTCCTACACAACACCGTGTTGGACGCTGACACGTGCTGGATATGTCAGGAAGTGTGTCGACGATTGAACTTGTTGCTAGGGTGGGGCAAAACTCACTAACCAAATCAAATCAAGTGGTTCTTCTTAAGTTTAATACCCGAACGAGTATCTAAATTGAAAACCGACAGGCTTAGTTCGATTCTTGGTTCTAGATCAAGAACCAAATCTATCTAATTTTTTTAATTTATTTATTTTAAATAAGCCAAATTATTTTATTTTTTCTAAATAAATTTGCTAATTAGTTAATTTAGCTCAAACCCAAATTAGTTATTCTACCGTTCTAAAGAAATCGAATTAAAACTTGACTCCTCTCTTAATTATTCTAAGCTCACTATTCCTTTACTGTGATTTTAACAATCAAATCTATAAAAAACTCAGTAAAGAGAGACACAAAAGAGACATAAGATTGGACTACATTATTTTGTAAGAGCTAAGATTGAACATGACATTAGTTGAATTAATGTAGTTTTGTAAATATTAAAAAAATTAATTATAGTACAAAATCGAATCGAACCGAACCGAACCCGAACAGTTCCATAGTTAAATTTGAACCCAACAGTTTCACTTACTAAATACTTGAAAATTTTGAGTCTGTTTCGGTTTTGACGAGAACCGAATTCAACCGGACCATACTCACCCCTATTTGTTGCCAACATATGGGGACATACAAACCTGCACCATCCCGATCAGCAAGTCAGTGTCCTCCACAACACAGACATTTGTTGGACACTGACATGTGTCGGATATGTCTAGTGTGACGAAATCATTTATTGGTTTTATTTAATTGGACATGTTGCCGACATTTTGAGACATACATTTCCAACACGTAGGGATGACAAAAAGGCTCAAGGGATCAGGCCGAGCCACTAAAAACCTCGAGCAAGTGTGACGAAATTATTTATTAGTTTGATTTAATTGGACATGTTGCCGACATTTTGAGACAAACATTTCCAACACGTAGGGATGACAAAAAGGCTCAAGGACTTGGGCCGAGCCACAAAAAACCTCGAGCCGGCTCGGCTCGAGGTTCGGTCAAACCGAGCCTAGGCTCGGGCCAAGCCCCATCTTGGGGTGCCGGGCCAAGCTTTCCTGGCCCGTATGGCTTGCGGGCTGGCTCGAAAAAAAAAAGGCAAAAGGCAAAAGGCAGCAATCAGAGGAAAAAATAAAGAAAAAAGGGGGAAAAACGAGCCGGCTCGGCTCTGCCCGTTTTGGCTTGGTAAGGCCCGCCTCGATTTTTTAGCCGAGCTTTTGTTCGGCTCGCCTCGGGCTAAAAAAAGACCGTCTTCAAAAAGCTCGAGCCGAGCCCAAGCCTTGATTTTCGGCTCGCGAGTTGCCATCCTTACCAACACAACAAGGATCCATTGTCGAAACATTGTCGACACACCAACATTAAAAAAATAAAAGAAAAGAAAAGAAAAAACAGAAAAACTTTAACGGTATAAGAAATAAAAAATGAAAAAATATAAAAAAAATAATATTACTTTCAATAGTGTGTCAGTGCTTCCTAGGGAAAATACTAGAAAGACCTTCAAAATTTCTTCTACAGAAAATTCAAAGAATATTTCAAATATTTAAATACCCACAAACTATAAATTATAAGTTTTATGAAGAGATGATCTTTATTGAGTATTAATATAACAATTTCAACCAAAAACGTCAGTTAAGGATTTATTATACTAGGCATTTTTGTTATTGTAATGATGCTAATTGACAATGTCAATGCTTGATTTAACATCTACACTTTGTGATAGCAAGATAACTACTTCAGGTTTTTAAACAATGTAGTTTCTTGGGCTTTTTTTGATAGGAGAAATATATAATTAGATTTAGTACTTTCCCCTAAAATAAACAAGCATAACACTCACACAGATTTAGTACTTTCCCCTAAAATAAACAAGCATAACACACACACACGCACAAAATATATACTTCATGAACATTAATATCCAAAATGTAATTGTCATATGAAGGTAGACAAACTCATACCAGTCTTTGTCTCCCATCAGTATCAGCAGCTAAAGCACGCCAACCACTGATGTCACCACCCTGAACTGCCATCAAGAATGCTGACCTTTGATCTGATTGGTTGCGGGTCTGGTTACTAGTTCTGACCTCATCTGAGGTAGAAGAGGCTGAAGGCATGGCCGAGAAATGACTTCTTCGAATTCCAGAATCAGACTCAACAAACGGGAAGGGAGCCGGGAAGGAAAATTCTGATGACGTTTGCTGGCTTTGCGTTGCTGGATTCTGATGAGGTGTCCACCCAGGGGGAATACTTCGCACACTAGAACTGGAGCCAGCCCGAGAAGCAGGAGAACTATTTCTCAAAGATCCAGAAGTTCCAGGAACAAAACTCCAATCAATTTGTCCCTGCAACATATTTCTCGTCTCTGGAGAAGAAATAAACAAGGGATACTCAGCATTATTTCTGAGAGGGTTTCTAAAATTAGCATCTTCATTCACTGCAGAACTTCTTTCTCCAGTGAGCATTAAAGAGCCAGATGAGCTGCCACTTCGTGCATTGGGAGATCCATTCCAAGGAAATGGGAGCGTACTTCTCGCCTCAGAGATATGCATCGCATGAGATTGGTTGACCGGATTGCTTAGATTTATTGGAAAAGAAAATGGTGCTCTCAACTCTGAAGAATCAATATTCGAGAGAGGTCTCGAGGGCTGCTGTGCTGCATAAACACCAGAATGTCTTGCATCAGAGTTTATGGGCATATCAAATGACATAGACTGGTGTCCAAGATTCGATCTCACACCGAAGTTTCTAGCAGGGCTTTCTCTAATTCCTGGAACACTTAGAGAGGGATGAATTCCAGATGCTACTCTATCCAAGCCAACCCCGCTCATCGGATTTAGTTGTTCAGAATGACTACCCCTCATTAAGTTGCCAGTTTCTGACGATATACTTAAACCTCCAGGTGCAACATAACGTAAAGGAACAGAGTGCTGCATCATGTTTTCAATTGGTTGACTGGAGCTGGAACTTCCACCTGGGTAAAATTGTCGAGAAGTACCTTCAAGAGCCTTTCTCTTGCAGGATAAACCCCAAGTATCCAAGGATGGACCTGGTGTGTCGTCATTTTCCAATAAAGTACCAGAAATACCAGAAGAAGTTCCTCTACTATTGGAAGAAGTGTAAAAACCAGGAATCTGCCTTGAATCTGATTGACCAGACTTGTAAAAAGTTTGCGATTGATCTGATCTTATACCTCTCTGATCATCATTCTCGCCAGCGTATCCATAATTCATATTTACATTAAGTGAACCAGAATTTGGCATACTCAGGTATCTGTCAGTTGCCTGGTTGCCACCATAACCAGCAGTATTGACATTAGACGGTTCAAAAGACCAATCTTCTGTTCTTGCATCTGTACCAGAGCAAGCATTGAAAGAGGATGACCAACGGTGTCTCATTCTTGAAACATCGCTGTGGACTTCGTTTTGCAGATTATTCGCTGAGGAACTGGATTCACCTGCATTCCAGCCACTGACACTCCGGGCATGACTGTTAATGGTATTTATACAACTATTATTTCCCTCACTGGGGGAAAGCATGTAATTTGGTAGTCGATTCTCAACTGGATATAGCATGTCATCCCAAGCAGCTGAATGATCCACAGAGTCATTATTAGAGAAAGACCCTTGGTTCAGATCAATTGTTTCAGGAAAGGAATCCAGGATACTCCTTTCCCCTTGCATCCGGGACATAGCTGCATAGTTGAGAATAAATTCACATCAGAAGGTGCAAATTAGTTCTGGGGTAGATCTGAAGAAAAAAAGAGACTTGATAGAGCCACTCTTTCAATAACTGTAGTTGTAAATCAGTTTAGATATTCAGAAGAGTCATAGAAGTTCAAATACATAAATATTTTTCTCCAGAAATAAGAATTAAGACATCTTAATCACTCGTTGCTTTTAGCATTCCTACACAAGCTAATTTCCACATTAATTTCATCTATCAAACAAGTTTAAATGAAAAGGATATCTCATCTAGCTCGTTATTTTGGCTTCAGAATCTGAAATTAACATTAAAGAATGCAACTTCATGAGCTATGACTCCTTGAAGCAAGTAAACAGAGAACCTCGTTTTATCATTATTCTGTAGTATCTCTAATTCACTACATCTTTTAACTAATTCATCAAAATATTACAAAAAATACCAATTACTATGATGTATCCAACGGGCTCCACAACCAGATTATCACTAACTAATTCACATCTCCTGCTACTTCAGATTCAGTTCACAGACGTGTAAAATGATATGGTAGTCCCCTATATAGGGTCAAAAAAAAAAAAAAATTGAAGAGAGAACTTGGCAAAAAGTGCCATTGCAATTTGTGTCGGAACTAAACTAAATATATAGAAGTTTTTTGACATTTTCCAAATCGTATAATGGAGACAAAAAGTTGAAAGATCGCAACCAAATTTTTTATAAAGTACGAATTAAGTGCACATAAAAATGGAAAATGAACATTAGTATATAGAAAGAAGATAAAGATGAAAATTTGTGAAAATAACCTAAGCTCACTCCTTTGACCGACGAATTCATCATAAAATAACACAAACAAAAAGTCAAAAATTAGCTATTATGGAACTCAAGATACGGATTACCTATTCTACAAATTTAATTAGAAAATGAAAATTTATGTATCCAACCTCAAATCGCGAAATAAAAAAAACCACAAAAAAAATAAAAAAAAATCATGTAATTTTAGCAAAAACGAAAAAAAAAAATGAAACTGATCATCAAGAAAAATAAGCAACAAATAAGAAAGGCAGAGAGAAAAACCAGAGTAAGAGAAGAGGGTAGATCAAAGGAGCGATCTTGTTGTCGTTTTTTCTTGATTTTTATTTTTTTATGTGGTTTGAGATTTTAATGGAGCGGTTGGTAAAGAATAAGAGGCGTTTCTTCCCAGCTATTCGATTGCCCTTTCTTCATATATACTATTTCTTTATACAAGAAATGCCCTCGAGAAGAGAAGCAAAGGGGCGCACGCTATGGAAATATTATAGATGAAAAATGTGAAGATGAGGGAGTTGGGTGGAGTGGAGTGGGGCGAGGGGGGCGAGTGGTGTGTCTGGTGGACAGATGATACCATTTCTTTCAAAGGATTGTTTGGCTAAACCGAAGGAACGATTAACGAACCAAGATTGTTTGGGTAAGTGAAAAGGTACATGTATGTTTAGCTTTGTTTGAACTTTTCTTTTTTTAAATTATATTTTTCTCTAAACTCATTTTAAGACATATTCTCTCAATAAAATTGTTTTATAATAATTTAAAATTTCTCTACATTTTAATTACACATTCTTCAATTTACAAAATTTATCTATAATATATTAAATATCATATCAAACTAAAATCATTTTTTTGACGATTATAACCCCACTACAATTTAATTATTCAATAATACTTACTTTTCGTTTTTTAATATATATTTAATTTACTAACTGTAATAAATAATACAAAATTCTTATTCATACATGTATTCCCTATAATCAATTCTCAATTAATTAACATTCATATTCATTTAATTAGTATTTCACATTCAAATTTATGTTCCTATTATTAATTCTCAATTAATTAATATTCATATTCATCTAATTAATATCAATTAGAACTTTACATTCTTATGCAGTTCATTTTTCATGTCCTTGTATGTGAATTAACATCCATTTTCACTTAATTGAAAATTAAATCATATTCATTTAGTAAAAATGATTTAACTTTCATTGTCACGTATATATTCTTTACTAGTAATTCTAAATTAATTGATATTCACGTTAATTCATGTATCAAAATTGGCCATTTACTTTCATTTATGCATTTAGTCAAAATTCTAATATTCACATTTAAGTGCATTTTGCTATTGTCTTGCATGTATAATAATTAGTATTTTATTTTCATGAACTTGCATTTCTCTCATACTTAGATTAAAATGGTAAATAGGGTGGTCAAATAATATTTTCACCATACTTGTAAAGCACGTGTTCAACATTAACTAGTTCTAAAAATTATGGCTCAAATAGGGGTTAAATTTGTAGTGATATTTGGATAGCTTTTTCTTTTCTTTCTTACCATATGTTTGGCTTATATTATATATAGTTCATAAACATTCACGTTACTTTTTATCAATACATTTCGAACAATCCACAAATATCATCAATTTATTCACAATTATTTTCTATCTATTTATAATCTAATTATATATAAAAACTTTTCAAATAGGTACCTTTATGTGATAAAATTTACTTTTTAAAAAAATGTGCTTATTTTATCGTCAAAATAAGTGACTTGTTTATTTTTAATTTTCATCAATAAAAAGAAACTTTATTTTAAAAATCATTTATTTACTTTTAACTTTTTTAATCTTGGACAAACATACTTAACTACTATCATCACAGAATATTGAGATTTTAAATTTATTTATTTATTATCACAGTTTAAGACTACAACACTTTATCACATATAAGTTTGACAATATTTAATAGTGTCACACGAAACAACAAATATTTTAGAATAATACTATTTATAGTCAGCGATTGCAGTAATCATCATATGGGACAGATTGTTATTTGAGGCATTATCGTGTTATGCTTGATACTTTAACTTTATTCTCATATATATCTATATCAAAAATTATTTATCCTACCAAATTTTCATATTTTCTGAAAAAAAATAAAATTTGTAATATTTGTTCGTACAAAGAGTTTTTGTTCCAAAGACGAGAAGAAAAATGAAGATTTATTATCTAGTTAAGATAAAACTAAATTGTGGATAAGTGATTTTAGCCCTTATAAAAATAAAACGGATTCTTGAACCCTTTTCACGCTCATATCAAGTTGAGGTACTGTAGTAGAAAAACCGCAAAATTTGATCTAATTTATCTTGGTCTATTAGTTATCCTCCCCATGATAAACATTAGGTATCCAAGTGTATAGCAAATAAATGCTAAAAACACTTGAGTAATAAAAATGATACAGTAAAAATCATTAATAAATATAATAAATTTGCATATAATATAAAAAAAATAGAATCACTTTGGAAAAAAGTTTATTTCATTTGATACTCTTAAAAGATTACTTTTGTTATCCAAGTGGTAATTTTATTTTATTATTTTTTTGAGTCCTCCTGTGCCAAAATAACCTTGTTGCTTGTACTGATGTTGAATGATTTTGTATTGCTTTGTATGTGTGCAATTTCTCTCTATCTGTTGTTGGCAATTTCCCTGGTCTTTTGAGTGCTTTCCCGTCTTTAAATTTTGGAATTTTTGCCTTATTTGATATCGTTATGAGATTTTTGGCCTCCGTCAACTTAGTTTTTCAAAGAATCTTAGATTCTCATCGCATGATATTGACTAGGAATAGTTTTTGATATATGTGTTCATTGGTTCGTGATTTGTATGTTGTCCGCCATGTTTGTTATTATGGTTTGTTATTCGATTTTCATTGTTGTTCGTTTATTGGCTATACGTTGTTTTCTTAATTTGATAGTCTATCTGTTATTCCAAGGAGGTATATATTGATGGTGACACGCTTGGCCTTGTTCTTCATAGGTAGATTGATGAAATTGTAATTTGATTTTGGGTCTATTGAACTTGAGTGTTATGTTTGGCTTTTTGATAAATTTTTTTTGCTTTTGTCGAAAGATGGAATGATAAAATTGTAATTTGATTTGTAATGAGTTGAGCTGAGCTGAG